AAATATTTGTGCACCGGGTCTCTAGTAGGATAACAAAAGGCTAATAATCAAATTGCCCCTTCAACTGGGAGTTTGATGAGAGTTAGACCAGGAGCAGAGCCAGTCAGCCATCAGCAGCCCTTACCCCTGTCCAGCGTGGCCCGATGGGCCCTGATCAGGGTGGGCCAGCTGGACTCCACCCATGCACAAATTTGTGCACCTTGCCTCTAGTTAAGAATAAGATCTGTTTAGAGTAAAATAATTGCAAATGACACCAGGCCTCTTAAGATATCCAGTCAAGAGTCTATGATTATGATCACAAGAAGTAGAAAAGATATCTCCTTGGTTCAGATTTTCTCTTATTGCCAATGAAGGGAAATTCCACTAGTAAGTCAGAGGCCCTCCTCCTACCCAGCCTCTGATCACAGGTTAAGTATAGAGAGAACACTCTTTAAATAGATATTCTATTTTCTGAGAACTGTCACTCCTGTAACAGGGAATAAAGCTTTATGCCAGTCTGACTAACCATGAGATAGAAGTAGAATAAAATGTACTAACAAACTGATAAAAGCTATGAACATACTGACAGTTTCCTCATAAGCATATTGCAGGCCTCAGCAGTTCTAGTTCCTGCTTACACAAAAAACGGCCTTGACCACAACTTTGGTTGATGTGTATCACCCAACTGCAGGAATTTGGCTAGCACTGATCAGTTCCATATGCTGACATTAACAATCCACATTGAGGCCAGCAAGGACACTGCCTGCTTGTCCACAGCCCCTCCTCCTGATCTCTTTGTTCTGCTTTCCCTCTCCTTCCCTATAAAAACCCCTGCCTGCACTGAGATTCTAAGATGGGTTTTGGACAAGAGTCTCCCATCTTCTTGAGATGTCGGCACTTGAATAAACTTCTTTCCTTTTTTTACCACCATCTGCCTCACAAGTTTGGTTTTCGTGGTGGCAGGCAGCCGAACCTTGGTTCTGATTACACTACTAGCGTGTTCCTGTAGCAGTGTCAATTTAATACTCTGACAAATATTTCTTCAAAATCAGAGGATATAATTTTGTAAACATTTATTTTTCATGTGGTCTGTAGAATTTCAATGAATCTGATTAAAGGAACTTATATGTGTTTGGATGAATAAGGAGTCTGAAGAAGTAAGGGAGTAATTATATAAAAAATCAGAGGATATTTTAATTATTAATGAAAAATTTTAATTAAAAATCTATGAAAACAATGCAGCAGTTAGAAAAGGATACTCTATAAATGTCAATTTACCTGTAGCCTATTTAAAAGTACAAGTTGAGGAGTAATTATGAATTAAAATCTTAATGACATAATAAACAAATAGCAATAGTTTACTAAAATGATAATGACTCCATATAGATACCAAATAGCAGTGTGATGGTTAATTTTACATGTCCATGTGGCTAGCTAGACTATGTTTGCTAGTGTTTGGTCAAACACTAGTTTAGGTGTTTCTGTAAAGTGAGTGGCTCCATCCAATCAGTTAAGAGTAAAGGCAGAGATTCCCTGAGGATTAGTGCCTTCAAACCACAAAATAGGGATTCTGTCTTATTTTCCAGGTTTTAGACTCATGACTATAACAGCAACTCTTTTTTTAAATTTTTTTATTGATTAAGTTATTACATATGTGTCCTATCCCCACATTATCCCCCATACCTCCCACTCATGCCCTCACCCCCCTTGTCATCTGTGTCCATTGGTTAGGCCTATATGCTTGCATATACGTCCTTTGGTTGATCTCTCCCTCTTACCCCCACCCTTCTCTACCTTCTCTCTGAGGTTTGACAGTCTGATCAATGCTTCTCTGTCTCTGGATCTGTTTTTGTATAGCAGCAACTCTTACATGAGTCTCCATCCTACCATCTTGCCCTACAGATTCCAGACTTGCTAGCTGCCACATCATGTAAGCCAATTTCTTTTCTTTTCTTTTCTTTTTAAAATATATTTTATTGATTTTAGAGAGGAAGGGAGAGGGAGAGAGTGATAGAAAGGTCAATGATGAGAGAGAATCATTGACTGGCTGCCTTCTGCATGCCCCCTACTGGGGATCAAGCCCACAACCCAGGCATTTGCCCTTGGCTGGAATTGAACCTGGGACCCTTCAGTTCACAGGCTGATGCTCTATCCATTGAGCTAAACCAACTAGGGTGTAAGTCAATTTCTTAAAATCTCTTCCCCTCTCTCTCTTTCACTTTTTATCTCTCTCTTACAATCTCCTCATTATTGGTTTTCTGGAGAACCCTGACTAATACAGGAAGACTTGAAATGCAAAAATCATTTGGTTTCATTTTTAAAAATACATATTTTTATTGATTTCAGAGCTGAAGGGGGGGGAAGAGAGAGAGAGAGAGAAACATCAATGATGAGAGAGCTAATTATCGATCACTGCCTCCTGCATGCCCCACACTGGGGATAGAGCTTGCAACCCCAGCATGTGCCCTCACCGGAAATCCAACCGTGACTTCCTGGTTCATTGGTCTACATTCCACCACTGAGCCACGCCAGCCCTGCGGTTTCATTTTTTAAAAATATTTTTATATGTTTTTATTGATTTCAGAGAAAAGAAGGAAGAGAGAGAGATAGAAACATCAATGATGAAAATCATTTTTGGCTACCTGCTGCACACCCCCTACTGGGGACCAAGCCCTAAACCTGGGCATGTGCACTGGTTCATGGGTCGATGCTCAATCACTGAGCAATATTGGCCCGGCCACTTGGTTTCATTTTTAAGAATAGCATCAATCACCCAGCAATGTGGAAATTATTAGGTATTTGGTAATGTTTATCAAATAACTCTCAAAATAAGGGGGGAACATCTGTAATACTCTCAAAGATAAAAAATAAAATATGAAATCTTAAAAATGCATTTAAAAATAGTTTTTAATATTTATAGCTGAGGGAAGTTGGTGGTTGTTTTGGTTGAGAAGGGAAACATCTAGATAATTTAGTCCAGAGTAGTGAGCTACTCAATATAAATGATTTTTAAAACTGTATTAATGGAATAATCTGGTTTTTTTTTTTGTCTTCAGAGAAAATTCCAGAATTGAATAATTCATTGGTTTGTAGAGATGTTTTAACTATACCACAGATACTTTTGTATAGGGTTTTTTAAAAGGTATACTATCTATATTTGCTATCTCTTAAAAGAGTGATTTTAATTTTCAGAACACACTTTTACTTATCAAAATTTTAAAATTTAATTGATTTCCCTTTTGTTATTCTGTTCTCATTAATTATTACAAACATTATGACAATAATATAACATGACATGCTATCAGATACTTACCTTAATAATATTTTGTTTCTGAATAATGTTGATGGTATTCTTAAAGGAAACTACTGGCATATAAGAAAAAATATCTGATATCTGCAGTGTTTAGTTCTTTAGATCTACTGCAGTTAAAATGAAATTTCTAAAATAGAGAATGAAAATATTAATACATGTAAAATTATAATTAAAAAAAAGAACCCAAAAACCCTGAGCCCTGGCCGATGGCTCAGTTGGTTAAAACATTGTCCCATACACTGAAAGGTTGTGGGATCAATTCCAGGTCAGGGCACATACCTAGGTTGCAGGTTTGGTCCCTGGTCAGGCTCATATGGGAGGCAACCAGTCCATGTTTCTTACATTGATGTTGCTCTCTCTCCATCTCCCGTCCTCGCTCTGAAATCAATTAAAAAACAAAACATATTTAAGAAAATATCGCCAAATAGATTTCTAAAGTGGTTGCAATTAACACTGACACCAGTAGCAGTAAGAGGGTGCTAGTTGCACCCTATATTTACTCCTGCTTGGTATCGTCTACATATTTTATTTTAGTTCTTATGGGGATGTATTAGTACTTTTAATTTACATTTCACTGGAGAATAATGAACTGTAGCATTTTTGCATATGTACTAGTATATTTGCCATCTAAACACACTTTTATATGAAACTTCCCTTCAAATCTATTGGGTTGTCTTTTTCACATTGGCTGTGGAACTTCTTTATATTTCTAGTTACAGTCCCTTTTCAGTTGTATTTGTTGAACAAATATTTTCCTACTCTGGAGTTGGCTTTACATTCTCAATCAGTATTCTTTTTTTTTTTTTAAATATATTTTATTGATTTTTGACAGAGAGGAAGGGAGAGAGATAGAGAGTTAGAAACATCGATGAGAGAGAAACATCGATCAGCTGCCTCCTGCACATCCCCCACTGGGGATATGCCCGCAACCCAGGCACATGCCCCTGACCGGAATCGAACCCGGGACCCTTCAGTCCGCAGGCCGACGCTCTATCCACTGAGCCAAACCGGTTTCGGCCTCAATCAGTATTCTTAATTTCAGTCTGGATCAGTTTGGCATTCTTTCTGTTTGTTGTTAATGTCTTTTGCATCTTCTTTTAAAAATATATACTTTTTTATTCATTTCTGAGAGAGAGAGGGAAAGAGAGAAAGAAACATCATTGTGAGAGAGAAACGTCAATTTGCTGCCTCCTGCATAGCCCTACAGGAGATTGAGCCTGCACCCGGAAATGTGCCTTGATTCAGAATCAAACCAGTGACCTCTCAGTCCATGGGATGATGCTCAACCAAGTGAGCCACACCATCAGGTAAGGGCACCACCAGGTCAGGGCATATTACCTAGTTTGGGGGTTTGATCCCTGTTTGGGACTCATATGGGAGACAACTAATGTTTCTCACATTGAGGTTTCTCTCTCTCTCTCTCTCTCTCTCTCTCTCTCTCTCTCTCTCTTTCTTGCTTCCTCTCTCTCTCTCAAATCAATAAATATCCTTGGGTGAAGATTTAAAAAAATACAACCTGAGATACTTTTTTTTACTATTACCCTTCTATACTGCAATGTTGTACATCTCTTGAATTAAAAATGGACATTAAATTTAGATAACAGACAAGAGTGTAGATGTTTTAATAATTAAAATGATAACGCTTACATTTAGGATAAACTATTTTTTATTGTCATGTGTGAGAATTTCTCTTATACATAAATAAAAATTACAACATTCTCAGAAGAATACAAACTATGTACAATAGATTACATGCTGTCCACTGTGGCGCTTTCCCCTGTGGATTCCAATTTGGATATTCTGCCAATAAAACGCAACAGTTAAGAGCTCAATTTAGTTTCAAGGGACCAAAGTAATTAAATCAATATTCAGTTTTATACATACTGATAAGCTTTTCACGTTCTTCATTTTCTAAAATAGGAAAAAATTAAAGGTACTTAATTTTTGGTATAAAATTATTTACTTTTTGGCTTTTGGAATAACTTAATCAACTTAAGAAACAAAATTTGGCTTTTTAACTTAAAAAAACCCAAAGCTTCCTCCCCAAATTCCATTATATTTAAAAATCCGTACAATGCTCCCTGCCAACATGTCATTTTCACAAATATTTCTAGAATGCCTTTTGCATTGAAGGCACAAAAGCCAAACACAGACAAAACTATAGCACTTTATATTTGGTATTCTGTCATTCCCGTTTAAAAATCTCTGAAAAAGGGGGTCCTTTATGTAGTGTTTTGATTACCCATAGCCTTTTATCAAATATCTGACTCATTTCTGCACTGGCCCTTGTTCCAAATTTTGCTCTATGTCTCTCACCCTTCAAATTATTCTTCTCTATTTACCATCCTATCAGCAATTTGCAATTTGTTAGGAATTCACGTTATTTAATTTATTCATTGATTTTTTTTTTGAGTGCCTGCTGTGTATTGAGCATGATTCCAGTCTTTGAATATAATGGTTATCAGAACAAAAGTAAAGTTCTCCTTAAAGAAAAATAAGAAAAGAAAATCTGTCATCAATTTAAAAATAAACTAAGTAAATAAAAATGAATAAAAACGATAATTTCAGACAGTGATTGGTACTATGAAAAAATAAACTGACTCAAAAGATAGAAAATAATGAGGAATTTAAATTAATAGCTAAAATTTATTGAGAACTTTATTTTGCACTCAAATCACTTTGCATGACACTTAGTAGTAAATGCTCTTAATCACCTCAGTAAAGCCACCTCACTGCAAAGCCTATACATTTGTTAAACTATATGTACTGTCTCTCAAAAAGGAAGTCAACAAAACTAAAAGTTGGCTTTCATAGAAACTGATCAACAAAGAAAAAAAACAAATCAAAATTCATAGGACTTATGTAATTGGAACATAACAGAGCAGTGATAAAAATATGAGAAGTTCATTAAAACTTGCTAGAAAACATACATTTGCTAATTTTGTTCTCAAACCTTAATAGCACATAATATTACAAGAAATTAAACCAGTTATTTGAAATTTATAAACATACACAACCCAGAACAAAATGGTTTTACAGAAAACTCCCAAACATGGGGGGAAGAAATCATCAGAATCTTATACAAATTGTAATCAAAATATAAAAAGAAGTAATACTCCCAACTTTTAACTTCTTTATGAGGCTACTTCAACCTTGAAGTTGAAAACATATGAGAAATGAGGAAGGAAAATTTCAGGCCAATGATAATTCTAAAATTAAATTGAAAAACTGTAAGTAAAATGTTACCAAAAATCAAGCCACTGCTTGGTCAGTGCTGCTCAGTGGTTGAGCACTGAACCATGAAACAGGAGGTCATGGGCATGGTGGGCTCAATCCCCAGTAGGGGGTGTGCAAGAGACAACACGGATTGATGATTCTCTCTCATCATTGATGTTTTGATCTCTCACTCTTCCTTCCTCTCTCTGAAATAAATTTAAAAAAAACATTTTTGAAGAAAAATAAGAAATCAAGTCATCTCTAAAAGAAACCTATGACCAATTTGAATTTATTATGAGAATCAAAGAAGAGTTTAAAATTGGATTTTCAGGCCATAACTTAACTAGCAGAACCTACATGAAAATATAAATCTCATTGGTTTAGTTATATATATTAGATATATGTACAGCTTTTTTTTGTATGTCAATCATATCTCAGTAAAGTGGTTTAAAAAATAACAACAAAGGAAACAATAAATAAAATTAAAGAGGAAACAGAATGTGATAAAAGATTTAAAAAATTAAAAACCACCCTGTATCTAACTCTTTTCAATAACTTTAAAAAATGAGTGATGTGGACCAGTTTTTTTTAAATGTATTTATTCAAAGAGAAGTTCAGAGCACAAATCAATTTTTAAAAATTAAACTTACAAAATAATACTTCTAAAACAGTTTCCCAAAAGAAAAAAAGAAAGGAAGAAATCCTTTGATAAAGCTTACAACATTAAAGAAAAAAATTGGGGCTAATTTCAAGAGATCAGAAAATATCTGGTAAAATTAAACATTCATTCAAGATAAAAGGTCATGGCAAACTAAGGAAAGAGAAAACTACCATAACCAGGCCATTAGGACTAATAAAAACAATCTAAAGCAAAAATACATAATGTTGAAATATTGTCCTTAAAGTCATGAACAAAAGAATAGTCTCCACTATTGTAACTTATGTCCAACATTGCACAGGACGATTCACTGACTATTAATATTAGCAAAATAAATAACTGATGTAAAAGTTAGATGACAGACTATTTTTTTATAGAGAACATTAAGAATATACAAGACCATTAACAAACTATTAATAAGAGAATTATGTAAGATTCATGGATAGTAGACTAAAATAAAAATAATTTATATTTCTATTAATTAGCAAAAATCAATTAGAAAATATAATTTTAATATGCCATTTTAAAACAACAAATACATGCTACTAAGGAATCTAACTTGGTGTGCAAGGCCTTTACTGAGAAAAGTTTAAAACTTAACTGAAAGACATTTAAACCCAAATAATCTTTATTAATATAAATAGTCAATGTAATAACGATGTTAATCCTTCTTACATTTACCTATAAATTCAATGTAATGCCAACCACATTTCAAGGTCTTCTACGGAATCGATGAGCTTATCATAACATTAATTTCCAAGAATAAAGGGCCAAGAATAACAAGATAATTTCCAAATAGTTGGAAAAAGAACAAGTTGGAGAACACCTCCTAGTTACTAGGACCTAGTAGGTCTCAAAGTTTATTGCAGCCTTTGCAGTTTGTGTAGTGCTGTACTAGAGACCATTGTCAATCCCTGCTTAAGTCTCAGCAATGTAGTCGTTTGGGACAGACAAAAGCGGTCGTCAATCACAGCTAGAAAATCCAAATAAAATACAACAGTGCTTAAGAGCATCAGAGATTCAGAACAACAAAGAGCAGAGGGTGAAGATTTCAGAGCAGGAGATCCATCGAGAGGTGGGCTGATGTTAAGAATGTTGCTTTTTCTCTGGGGCCATTTTCTGATTGGTCCCGTTCAAGGGCTGAATATATGGGCTTTCCTCTGGCCAAGGCTGATACATGGGGAAAGGAGAAACCCGCTGAGCTTTTGTGGGTCTTGTGAGGCTAGAAAGAGAAAAATGGAGCATTGAGTAGGTCAAGGTTCAGGGGAGTGGTGGAGATGGGGGAAATTAGCCCAATGGATATCCATGTTGTGCTCAAGCTATTTTAATTTTGAAGCTGGGAGGGCAGGAGGCTAAATCTTTAGGCTGAAAGCCCTGGAAATAAAAGCAGATATTTTAGCAATTGCAGTGTGCTAAAGCAATTAAATATTGGAGTTTAATAACCACCAGGGAAAGGCAACAGTGAACACCTCACTCTCTCAGTGAAAAGCCCTTGGAATGGGATTCAGCAGAGGTTGACCAGGCTTTACCTGTATTCTAGCCCTTTTCTTTTTTTTCTCTTTTCTTTTTTACCATTTCCAAGTCATCTACCCCCTTCACCTATTTCATTTTATCTTCAATCAAATAATTTGAAAATGTACTTAACCTAAAAAATATATTTGTTCTGAGGACCAATGAACTGCTGGAAGTGAAACACTAGTTTTAAATCACAATTAGTTTGCACATTAATTAATGTGTTACTCCTGAGTGAGTCACTATTTTAATAATAACTTATAAAAGGAAAATGCAGGCAAATGCAAATACGTGTTTAAACTAGTAGTTCTTTGTTATAGCAGCAAATATCTACTGTATAGCAGCACACTGGATCACAGTTATACCTCACTCCCACCTTCCTTTAGCCTCAGAGGGAAAATAATCAGTGAAGAAGGGAGGGATTATCGGTTTTAAGTATGATTTATGACAAACGAGTTATATCATCAGAGAGCAGCAAGCAAATCTTCTTCATAAACTCTCTATAAACTTGAGGAGAGCTAAATTTGAAAATATAATGAATTTATGGAAACTTTGCTCTCCAAATAGGAAATTACAATTTACTTTTTTCATTTTGCTTACTGCAGAGGCAGTTTTCACAAGTGTCTTCTTTTCCACACATAGAGCAGGATGCTCCTTCAGTGTAAGGGCGGGCCCCTGCATGATTTCCTCTGTAAAAAAGGGAAACATTGAGTAGCCAAATGGCTATTTACTCCTCTAATTTACTTATTTTTTTGGTTACTCATTAAGCATGAATGTTGAAAGGAAAATGACTTTTTTTTTTTTTTATTAAATATATTTTATTGATTTTTTACAGAGAGAAGGGAGAGAGATAGTCAGAAACATCGAAGAGAGAGAAACATCGATCAGCTGCCTCCTGCACATCCCCCACCGGGGAAGTGCCCGCAACCCAGGTACATGCCCTTGACTGGAATCGAACCTGGGACCCTTCAGTCCGCAGGCCGACGCTCTATCCACTGAGCCAAACCGGTTTTGGCAGGAAAATGACTTTTGTCCCAATTTTATGCTAATCTATAATTATAAAAGTGTTAATAAGATAATTAAACTGGACAGCCGAATGACCTTTTCGATGTCATTGTGGACGTCCTTCTAGACAAAGCCACGGCAGCAGGGGCTGAGGCAGAGGTGGTTAGGGGCAATCAGGGAGGCAGACAAGCAGTTAGGGGCGATCAGGCAGGCAGGCAGAATGGTTAGGGGCAATGAGGCAGGCATGCGCAGTGGTTAGGGGCAATCAGGCAGGCAGGCGGAGTGGTTAGGTGCAGTCAGGCAGGCAGATGAGTGGTTAGGGGCGATCAGGCAAGCAGGCAGGCCAGCAGTTAGAAGCTAGCAGTCCCGGATTGTGAGAGGGATGTCCCAGATTGCGAGAGGGTGCAGGCCGAGCTGAGGAACGCCCCCCCATGCACAAATTTTGTGCACTGGGCCTCTAGTTTCTATTATAAAAAGCTACTTTAAAACTGTTCTTTACAGCATGTTCTCAATATGTCAAAGCTATATTCTATAAAATAAAATTTTTATTGATGTTTTTAGAGAGAGAGAATAGAAGGGGAGGGAGAGAGAGAGAGATTAATTTGTTGTTCCACTTATATATTCATTCATTGGTTGGTTGATTCTTGTATGTGCCCTGATCGGGTATCAAACCCACAACCTTGGCAGCTCAGGACGACTCTCTACCAACTGAGCTACCCAGCCAGGGCATTATATTCTTTAATATTCTATAAAACATAAATTAGATATGAACCCAGTGTAATTATGTATGTGACAGCCAGTTATTTTTTTGTTGGTTGTACAACACTAAGATTATCTCTTCATTTTGTAAATGAGATAAGAAAAATTTATTTTTTAAAAATATATTTTTATTGATTTCAGAGAGGAAGAGAGAATGAGAGAGAGAGATGAAACATCAATGATGAGAGAGAATCATTGATCGGCTGCTTCCTGCTTGCTCCTACTGGGGATCGAGCCCATAACCCAGGCATGTGCCCTGACCAGGAATCTAACCATGACCTCCTGGTTCACAGGTCTACACTCAACCACTGAATGACGCCAACTGGGCAGAATAAGCAAAATTTAAATTGCAAATGTAAACAAATGCTTTATGGCTTACTTTAAAAGTATAATATCATAATCCTTATCTAGTCCTACTTGATGATGTACCAAAACAATGGTACCATTTGGACAACCATTTGACAGATATCACTTTTATTATGCCTGCTTTTCAATAGTATAAGCTGATACATTCTAACAAACCTGCTTTTTAGTCATCTCAGTGTTTGTGGTAGACTTTATAAATGTTACGTAGAGTACCCAGAGAAAACATTAATAGCATTAGCAGTACTCCATTAAAGAATAAGCCACAATTTATTTACCCATTCATCCGTTTATGGACCTTTGTGTTGTTCTGGTTTTAGACTATTACATATTAAGTTACTATGCACATTTTGAACATTCATATATGCCTTTTTATGGGCATACATTTCTAGGAGTGAAATAAATAGATCATATGGTCAGGGCATATTTAACTTTTTATGAAACTGCCACGCTGATTTTACAAAATATTTGTGACACTTTATATTTGGACCAGCTGGTTGAGAATTCTAGTCCCTTCATATCTTCCTCTGGATTTGGAATGGCCAGTATTTTTTTTTTTTAATCTTTATTGTAGAATAGAAGCATGCTGCATGAAATTCATGCACTGGGGTGGGGGGTGGTCCCTCAGCTCAGCCTGCCCCCTCTCACAATCCGGAAGATCTCAGGGGATGTCCTACTGATGGCTTAGGCTGCAGTCTGGCCTCCCTCTGCAGGCTGATCAGGGGAAGGCACCACTCCCATCACCCCGCTGCTGCTACCACTGCTGGCTGCCAATGTGTTTTCACCAACATGGACTCCAGTTCCTTCACCACGAAAAAATGACAACTTTCTTTAGGCATTTTTAAGATGTCTCTTTCATGGGCTATGACATTTATTTTTCTTTTTATCCTCACCTGAGGATATTTTTCCATTGATTTTTAGAGAGCATGGAAGAGAGAGGGAAAGACAGAGAGAAACATCCATGTGTGAGGGACATTTTGATTGGTTGCCTCCTTCATGAGCTCTGACCTGGGCCCCAGCCAGGGAGGAGCCTGTAACCTAGGTACATGCCCTTGATCAGAATTGAACTCGGACCCTGTGGTCTGAAGGCCGAGGCTCTATCCATGGAGCAAAACTGGGGAGGGCAGTGTACCTTCATTTTTTCCTCCAGGAGTGAGGGTGAAAAACCCTAGATCACCTTCTTGGATTCTTATTACCCAAGAACACTGCGAGTGGCATACAGGGAGCTTAGCCAATGAGTGGTAAGAAAAGGTGTTTCCTCTGCAGCTCATGCACAGAGGTGGGCCTGCTGGGGCCAGGCGGTGGCAGTGGCTTGGGCATGCCCCCCTGCCTCCACTCCAGGACTGCGCCATCCGTGGCTTGCCTCACAGTGTTAGCAGTCCCCTTCTGCCCATCTGCGCACACAACCTCCTCCTGAGCTGGTCGTGACTGTTATGGCGTCCAGCTAATTTGCATATTACCTTTATATCTTATCTAGTAACAGACAAACATGGTAATTGACTGTTCCTTTGCTACGCCTCCCATTGGCTAATCAGCACGATATGCAAATTAACCACCAAAAAATATGGCAGTTAATTTGAATACGTAGGCTCCAAGCGGCAGAGGGAAGACTGAAGGCGGCTCCAGCCAGAGGGAAGGCCTGGGTCCCGGGTGCTGGAGGAAAACCTGTGCCCGCAGCCAGGAGAAGGGAAGGCCTGTTGCACAAATCTCTGTGCAACAGGCCTCTAGTATATAGATAACATTACAGATGTTCCTTATTCCCCACCCCCATCCCTTCCATTGCTCTCCTTCACTCAGTTCCTGCCCCACTCCAAGCCTTCACAACCCTTTTGTCTATGTCCATAGGTAATGCATATATGCACTTAAAATCTCTTCCACTGTCCCCACCTCCTCTCCCCACTTCCCTCTGCAATTTTCAGTCTGTTACAAGTTTCCACACCTCTGGCTCTATTTTATTCATCAGTTTATTTTGTTCATTAGTGTTTATTTATTTTGATTTTTAGATAATTTTTTTAATTATTGTTTAAAGTATTACAAATAGTAGTAAACATGTCTCCTTTTCCCCCCATTGACCTCTGCCCGGCTTCCCCCACCCCCCGGCACATGCCCTCACCCCCTGTAGTGTCTGTATCCATTGGTTATGATTATATGCATGCATACAAGCCCTTTGATTGATCATTTACTCCCACCCCCCAAGCCTCCCCGGCCTTCCCACTGAAGTTTGCCAGTCTGTTTGATGCTTCTTTGACTCTGAATTTGTTTTTGTATATCAGTTTATGATGTGCATTATATTCCACAAATGAGTGAGATCATATGATATTTCTTTTTCTCTGATTTGCTTATTTTGCTTAGCAAAATGCTCTCCAATTCCATCCATGCTGTTGCAAATGGTAAGAACGCCTTCTTTTTTCACTGCAGCATAGTATTCCATTGTGTAGATGTAGTTTTCTAATCCACTCATCTGCTGATGGGCACTTAGGTTGTTTCCAAATCTTAGCTATTGTAAATTGTGCTGCTATGAACATAGGGTTGCATATATCCTTTCTGACTAGTGTTTCTGTTTTCTTGGGAAATATTCCTAGAAGTGGGATTATTGGGTCAAATGGGATTTACATTTTCAATATTTTGAGGAAACTCCATACTGTTTCCACAGTGGTTGCACCAATCTGCATTCCCACCAGCAGTGCATGAGGGTTCCTTTTTCTCTGCATCCTCTCCAGCACTTGTCGTTTGTTGATTTGTTGATGATAGCCATTCTGATAGGTGTGAGATGGTACTTCATTGTTGTTTTGATTTGCATCTCTCAGATGATTAGTGAGTTTGAGCATGTTTTCATATGTCTCTCGGCCTTCTGTTTATCCTCTTTTGAAAAGTGTCTATTTATGCCCTTTGCCCATTTTTTTGACTGGATTGTTTATCTCCTCTTGTTAAGTTGTATGAGTTCCCTATAAATGTTGGAGATTAAACCCTTATCAGAAATAACATTTGCAAAGATGTTCTCCCATGCAGTGGGCTTTCTTGTTATTTTATTGATGGTTTCTTTTGCTATGCAGAAGTTTTTTATTTTGATGTAGTCCCATTTGTTTATTTTCTCCTTAGTTTCCATTGCTCTAGGAGCTGTATCAGTAAAGATATTGCTATGATAAATGTCTGCCATTTTGTTGCTTATGGTTTCTTCTAAGATTTTTTGGTTTTCCATCTAATGTTTAAGTACTTTATACATTTTGAGTTTGTTTTTGTGTATGTTGTAAGTTGGTGGTCTAGTTTCATTTTTTGCACACGCCGAGAATCAGAGTCATGGATGCAGGGTGCAGCCACCATGGGTCACAGGGGGTGGGGGGCCCTCCACACTGAGAATCAGAGTCACAAGCTGGCTAGGGGGCCAGGTTGCATGACCGTCCTGTGTCAGTGGGAGGCTCACTTGTGCGCCGAGGGTCTCATGGGCCCTATGCCGCTATGGTGGGCCAGTGGGAGGGGGACGCACTCTGGTTCACAGGAATCTGTGGCCGGGATGGCTGGAGTCTTGTTGTCTGTGGGTCTGCAGCTGTTGTAGCAGGTCTTTTTCCAGAATGGCTGTAGGGTCCTGGTTTTTGTCTGAGGCCAGTCTTTAGATTAAATTTTTTACAGCTATGTATTTATTGGCATTTATTGTTCATATTTTTTATCTTTTCCTTCTTTTTTTTTTAAAATATATTTTATTGATTTTTTACAGAGAGGAAGGGAGAGAGATAGAGAGCCAGAAACATCGATGGGAGAGAAACATCGATCAGCTGCCTCCTGCACATCTCCCACTGGAGATGTGCCCGCAACCCAGGTACATGCCCCTGACTGGAATCGAACCCGGGACCCCTCAGTCCGCAGGCCGACGCTCTATCCACTGAGCCAAACCGGTTTTGGCTATCTTTTCCTTCTTATTCTTCCTCTTCTTAAAAAATATCCTTCAACATTTCATGTAATATTGGTTTGGTGATGAAAGGGCTTCTTTACCTTTTTCTTGTCTGTGAAGTTCTTTATCTGACCTTTAATTCTAAATGATAGCTTTGCTGTGTAGAGTAATCTTGGTTCTAGGTCCTTGCTTATTCATCACTTTGAATATTTCTTGCCACTCCCTTCTGGCTTGCAAAGTTTCTGTTGAGAAATCAGCTGACAGTCCTATGGGTGCTCCCTTGTAGGTAACTAACTACTTTTCTCTTGTTGCTTTTAAGGTTCTCTATTTGTCTTTAACCCTTGGAATTTTAATTATGATGTGTCTGTTGTGTGCCTCTTTGGGTTCCCCTTGTTTGGGATTTTCTATGCTTCCTGGACTTGTAAGACTATTTATTTCACCAGGAAGGGGAAGTTTTCTGTCATTATTTCTTCAAATAGGCTTTCAATATCCTGCTCTCTCTCTTCTCCTTCTGCCATCCCCATAATGTGAATGTTGGCATGCTTGACATTGTCCCAGAGACTCCTCACGCTATCTTCACATTTTTGGATTCTTTTTTCTTTTTTGCTCTTCTAAAAGGGTATTTCTTGCCGAAACCAGTTTGGCTCAGTGGATAGAGCATTGGCCTGTGGACTGAAAGGTTCCAGGTTTGATTCCGGTCAAGGGCATGTACCTTGGTTGCGGGCACATCCCCAGTGGGGAGTGTGCAGGAAGCAGCTGGTCAATGTTTCTCTCTCATCGATGTTTCTAACTCTCTATGTCTCTCCTTTCCTCTCTGTAAAAACTCAATAAAATATATTTTTTTTTAAAAAAGGGCATTTCTTACTCCTCATATTCTAAATCATTGATTTGATTCTAGGAATCTTCTATTCTACTGTTGAATCCCTGTAAATTGTTCATTATTTCATTTAGTCTTTGCTTAATTTCTGACTGGTCCTTTTTCATGTCTTTGAAATTCAAAGATTCTTGTAAGTCTCATTAAGTCCCTTGAATCTCTCACTAAGTCCCTTGAAGCTCTCATTAAGATCCTTTAGTAACTTTATAATCATTATTTTGAACTCTGTATTCAGTAGTTTGCTTGCTCCCATTTCTTTCATTTGTGACATGTTTCTTTGTCTTCATATTTGGTTGCTTCCCCGTATTTGTTTCTATCTATTAGATAGATCTGTTATGTCTCTTGGACTTGGTAGAGTGGCCTTGTATAGTAGGTGTCCTGTAGGACTCAGTGGCTCAGCCTCCCCAGTCACTAGAGCTGGGCCCTCTAGGTGCACCCATGTGTGGGCTGTGTGCACAGTCTTGTTGTAGTTGAGCCTTGGTTGCTATTGGCATCACTGGGAGGAATTGACCTTCAGGCCAATTGACTATGAGCACCAGCTGTGACTATAGTGGAAGAACTGCTGTGCAGGAGACACCCCTATGGAGCAGAACTTGCTTCAGTGGGACTTGGTGCTCTCAGAGTCTGCCTTTGAGTGTGTTGCTTGTGGATGGATAGAGTTATAATTTGGTATGGTCTGAAGCTGTACCCCAGGTTCACTGGCTCTGGGGACTCCCAGGAGGTGCAAAGTCAGCCACTGCCAGGACCAATCCACAGGAGCTACAGAGAGATCTGCAGATAGCTGCTATTTGTGTTGGTCTTGGAAGTGCCCAGGTGAGGCTCAACTCTGATTCAAGGCAGGATGGTGCTAGTGCTGAGTCTTGGGCCTCTTATTGATAGGTTTGGGGCATGCTGACACCAGCTGCTGCTTGTTTGAGAGATTCTAGAAAAGTCTAAAGCCTGAACTGGGGCAGGTCTGGAATGACCCATCTTTAGACAAATTGTTGTGTAGCAGTATTCATTGTGGTTTTAATTTGTATTTCCCTAATGATTAATGATATTGTGGTTTTTATTGTTGCTTATTGGCCACCTGCAAATTTCTTTATTAACCTTTTATTCTTTTATTTTTTATTGTTTTAAGTATTCCTGATATTGAATTGGTACAAGTCTTTTATCTGATATGTTTTGCAAAGACTTTTCTTTACTCTGTAGCTTATTCTTTCATTCTCTTACCAATGTCTTTGAATACCTATAATTATAATTTTAATGTAATCCAACTTGTCAATTTGTTGTTTTATGGATCAGACTTTTGGTGTGGTAGCTAAAAATTTTTGGCTATGCTAAGGGCACAAATTTTCATCCATGTTTCTTCTACAAGTTTTATAGTTTAATTTTTATATTTAGGTCTAAGATTAATTTTGAGTTATTTTTATAAGTTTTATTTCGTGTAGATTCAAGTTTGCTTTTGTATATGTAGATGACATATTGTTTCAGAAAGCATTTGTTGAAAAATTCCTTTTCCTCTGCATTGCCTATGTGTATCTATAAAAAGTCAGTTGAACACATGTGGTCAATCATGTGTAATTTATTTTTGTACTTCTTATTTTGTTTTATTCATCTATTTGTCTAACTTAATGTCAGTATCACAATGTTGTGATTATTCTAGCTATAGTAATTCTTGAACACAATAGTGTCGGTCCTCCAGATTTGTTCTTTTATTTTAGCTGTTTTGGCTAGTTTAAGTCCTTTGCATTTCCATATGATAATGTATATTTTTTAAGCTATTATAAGTGATAATGTCATTTTATTTCAGCGTCTGATTGTTCATTGTTAGTAAATGGGCATGTAACTGAGTTTTGCATCTTGATCTTTTATCTTAAAAAAAGTCTAGACTCCATTAGATTTTCTATATAAATCTGCAGTCATGCAGTTAGCAAAGTATGGCCCATAGCTAAGAATTAATTTTTTATATTTTAAGGGGTTATTTAAAATACAAAAACACAAGATGGATATGTAACAGAATGCATGTGTTCTGCAAAGCCTAACATTTTTACTATATGTAATTTACAGGAAAATATTTTGCTATTAGGTTTAACATTACATGCAGATTTTTCATAGATGCCCTTTATTGGGTTTAAGATGTTGCCTTCTGTTTCTAGCAGGCAGAGAACTTTCACTATGAATGAATATTTGTCTTTTACTCCATCCAGTGAGATTATCAGATGATCTTTACTTTTAGGTTGATTGATATGGCTAATTACATCAATTGATTTTAGAGTGTTAAACTAGGCCTATATTCTTTAAATAAACCCCATTTGGACAGGATGTATTATGCTTTTACCATATTATTGGATTCAATTGCTAACTTTTGTTTCAAAATTTTCTACCTATATTCATAAGAGATACTGCTCTGTAGTTATCTTTTCATTTTATTTCTCCTGTGTAATTTGTGTCTTTTGAGGAATTTGTTCACTTCATCCAAGTTGCCTCTGATTACTTAACCCCATTATTATTTTTAGTGACTTTCTTTGTCCCTGACAACACTTTAGCTCTGAAATTCACATTATCTGATATTTATATAGTCACTGCAGATTCATTTTGCCCAATGTTAGTATAGTAAAGCTTTTTCCATCCTTTTACTTTTAATGTGTTTGTATAAAGTATGGTTCTTGTAGGTAGCTTATAATTGGTTCTGGATTTTTTATCTAATCTCACAATCTCTGCCTTTTCATTTGGGTGTTTGTAGCATTTATATTTGATGTGATTATTGACATAGTTAAGATTGAGGCTATCATCTTCTTATTTATTCTTTGTTGTATCTGTCGTTTGTTTTTCTTCTCTTTAAGTTATGCACGTGTCATACTCATTTCTGTTGCTAACTGAGAAAGCGTAAAATAAATACAGGAGGAGATATACACATTTGTACTCTCCGTAGCAATTTTGACGTATCTCAGCTTCTTTTTATCAACCCTATATGTTTATTCTATACTTGGATTTTCATCTTTTGTATATTTTACTTTAATATTTTTGTTGTTAAATGGTTGGGTTGTAGATGGATTTTATCTTCTTTCTTGTACAGATCAATGGGATTTGAGTTCCAGAATTTTATTTTTGTAGCCTCCCATGAGGCTTATGTTATATTTCCACTTAGATGCACAATAGTAAAAAAGGCAATAAAACTTATGGTATTTTTTTTTCTTAAAAGAATGTGCTTTTCACTATCATTCAGAATCACTTGCTCATTTCAGTTATGGTATAGTATATTAGGAAAGCATCTGCAAACCTATTTTGTGTTTCAGTTTTTAGTATGGCACTGCATTCTATGTTACCTGTTGTTCTATTTAACAAAGAATGTCCATCATTTTAACTCTGAACTTTAAATATCTCATGGTAGGTATAATTCTTTACACAAGGTAATATCATCTCACCACCTACTATTTTCATCTGTTTCTTTGATTATCATTATAGAGGGAGGCTTCATTTATTGAATATATACCTGCTTTTTTAGTCTAAATCCTTATTTTTGGAAATAATTTTTAACATTGATTTCAATATAAAATATTTTTAAAAGCAAAACAACTTACAGAGGTCCATAATCACACACAAATATTGCAGTTGCAGCTCCCTGGAGTTGAGGACAAATTGTCATTGCACAACCAACCTTATATGAATCGGCCCAAACTACCTATAAAGAAAGGAATTTTAAAATAAAATATGCAAAACACCTCTATGAAACAATGCACTATGGGAATAACTATAATCTTAGTCATGCTCTAAAAGTGAGAATACATAAATTTTTATTAACTATTTTTCTTAATTTCTATTTAGTTTAAAACAATTTTTAAAAGGCTGCTTTCATGAGGGCTACATAACTAGTTTTTCCTCACTGATAATTCTCATAAGTCAAAAAAATATAATATGTAGCCAAAATAATATATTTTTCTAGATGATTTATGAAAAAAAATTATTTTCTTCATAGGTATAAATGTAAACAATATTAAAATTACACTATAAATGAAGACAATGATACACTTTTATTTCGTTTTCTCTAAAAACTTCTACTTAGTTTATGATAACATTTTAAATTTTGTGGCCCTAACCATATTCTACTTTTGTCAAATTACAAAAACAGATAGAGATAGAGACTAAGAACATATTGCGTTTATTGCAAAAAACATGCTTGCCATAAGGATGATGAATATTTTTGTTTCATTGTAAAGAATAGCAGTTATTCAAAAGAAGAAGATTTCTATGAAAAACTAACCATGGAGTGAGGCAGGGGTAGATAGAGAGTTGAAAAAATTAGTATTTTTTTGTGACAATGATAGAGTGGAATTTTCTTCTATTGCTTAAATAAACAAAGGGGAAAATACTTATTTATTCATTTGGAAAACAAACTAATGAAAGAAAATTGATATAGATTTTGATAACACAAATTATTTTTCTAAACCCATTTAATTTACAATTCAATTAAAAAAATGTATTGATACATTTTATAAAGTAATATATTAGTCACCATTTCCCATGATCTGCATATAGCTATAGTCAACAATTTTGCAAAATATATTTTAATGGCTCTTTGAGAGGCAGCAACAACTATTCTGAGAAGGATTTCTAAATTTACAACATCCTGTTGTCAGACGAAGTTTAAATGGAATAGAAGCATGAAAGCTACTAATTTCTGTGTTCAGTGAACCTCTAATAAGAATGGCATGCTTTCAGACACTGTATGTTAATTCAAATTAGACAGATATGTTTAGAGAAGAGAGTTCTTCTCTTGCTTAAATGGTCCATCCTAGGGGCTCTGTGTCATGCCTAAAATGTGCTTCCATTTCTCACCCAAAACTCTCACAACAACCAACCAAAAGAATTGTAAAAATTATAGGAAATAAAGGTCTTCAGGATACTGGACATATGACAACAAAGGATAATGCCTCCTGGGAGTTCAGGTTGGGGAGGCTGTGAATTATACAAGTGTCTCAGCTTGTTGCTTTGAGAGCGTTTCCAGGCCATGACTGGTGGGGTAGGGGTGTTGGAGAAACCAGGAGGAGCCTAATGGATCCACATAGTTGAGAGACAGCTGAGAGTCCGTGGAGACCAAGGAGGCAGGCGTTTGGGTGGTGTAGTACCTCAGTGGTGACAATCTAACAGTGACCCTACTATGGATACCTCCAGTAGGTTCCCAACATCAATTCAGCAGAGCACTAACCAGAGCATGCATTTGAAGAACTACCCTAGACCCTAAAAAGAACTATTTATAAAAAGTCAATGAAAGAATACAGGAACTTACATTGGGCCAGGAGTAGGGCCTTTTCCGCTAGCTCTACTGGCAAGTTTCATAATTTCTGGGGCATTGGGTAGAGTATGCAGAAGAATTTTGCCTCCATCTAATATATTTTAAAAGCAGGAACCAAAAGACTCAAACAAATTCCAAGTAACTTAATTGTATCCCAGAAGAGAATTCAAGAATATTATAGGCATATAAATAAATCAAGCATCCAAGAAGGCAAGATTTATAAAGTTGAAGGTATAATAAAACATATCTAAATATGATAAGCAGCAGAAAATTTTACCCATAAGGAAGAGGGATAATCAATCCATTGAAACTATCCCAGAACTAACCTAGAGAAAACATTAGAATAATTATTGTAACTATCTCATATGGTTGAAAAGGTAGAAGAAAGGTCAAATATCCTTTTTTTAAAAAAAAAATGTTTCTTTATTGATTTCAGAGAGAACAGGAAGGGGAGAGATAGAATCATTAATGATGAGAGAGAACCATTGATCAGCTGCCTCCTGCATGTCCCCTAGTGGGGATCGAGCCTGCAACCCAGGCATGTGCCCTTGGCCGGGATCAAACCCACGACTCTTTAGTCAGCAGGCTGATGCTCTATCCACTGAGCCAAACCAGCTAGGGCCAAATATTCTTGATATAGTTACTGATTATGTAAAAAAGACAAAAATCAAGCTTTTAGAGATATAAACTGTAGTATATAAGATGAAAAATAAACTAAATGTTGTTAATAGTAGATTAAACATTAGAGAAGAAAAGATTAGTGAACTTAAAGATAAAGCAATAAGACTATTTGAAATTAATCACAGAGAGGAAAATCTTAGAAAGAAAAGAGAACAACAATAATCATGGGGAAATTCAAGTGGCCATCAACATTGGTGAGTGGAATCAGGGCAGACAGAAGTCAGTAACAGAAATATTTCAAGAGGCAATATCCAGCATTTATCAAATTTTGATTTAAATTATAGACATATAGTTCTAAGAAACTCAGTAAACCACAGCACAGAAAGGTGATGAAAATTTTAGTAAATTATGAAATGGCTCCAGATTTGTTGTAAAGAAAATTTTTTTTAACTGAAACAGAGAAAAAAAAGGCACATTACATAACACTGGAATAAATAAAAGATTGAGATTTCTTATTGGAATTAATGCATTGAAATGACAATGGAGTAATCTTTAAAGTTCAGAAAACAAAAGCTCCAGAGAATTCTATATCCAGTAAAACTATCTTCCAAATGAATGTGAATGTTCAGAACACCCAAATGTAACTGAAAAGAAAATGCTAGCCCTGGTCGGTGTGGCTCAGTTGATTGTCATCCCATGCCACCAACAATTTGCTGGTTGGATTCCAGTTGGGGCACGTGCCCTGTTTGTGGGCTCTATACCCAGTAGGGGGCATGCAGGAGGCAGCCAATCAATGTTCCACTCTCACATTGATGTTTACTTCCTCCTCCTCCTCCTCCTCCTTCTCTTCCTCCTCCTTCTCTTCCCTCCCTTCTTCCCTCCCTCCCTCCCTCTCTCCCTCCCCCTTTCCCCCTATCCTCCTCTCTCCCTCTCCCTCTTCCTCTCTCTCTCTCTTCCCCTCTCTCCATCTCTCCCTCTCCCTTCCTCCCTCTCTAAAAATAAATACAAAATATTTTAAAGAAGAAAATGCTAAAAAATGTCTTGTGATTGAAATATGCATAAATAAGAATCAATCAATCAAATGTCAAATATTTACCTGTGTATAATGGCCACAAGCTTTGGAACAATGTAGAGTACTATAATTATAAATCATCTTTTCATTACACCAAAGACCAATAGCAAATTCCGGTTTAAATTGGTATGATCCACCTAACCAAATATTTTCTCCCACATATTTAAAAGTTGGATGACACTGATATGGTTTTTCTGAGCAGGTGTTGGGTTGGTAATTGCACTTGTTTGCCCATGCTTTTGCAGTCTTCGCTAAACCTTCATCCCAAGACTGAAAGACAAAAATAATTTAAATTGAATTTTGCATATTCATTTGCATTGATGTTATTCTAATGATTTTAATAGATGAAATTTTGTTTAAATTTTTAATTTTAATAAAATATAGTTTTTCTTTGGCATTTATTATGTTCACCATTAGTCAGTTCTTTTAAGTTGTGCTTCAGAAACACTCTATGATCCATTCTGTGGAGGTTTATTTTTGTATCTATTGGACTGGTATAGAAGCAGTCAAAAAATATTTGAATGTGACTTAAATAAGCCAGAGTTCACAGTCCAGTAATTTAGAGAATCATGCAAGCATATCATAAGTAAAGGATGAGGACCCATTTATAATTAAGAACTTCCTAGCACGCTAGAAATAGAATTTTCTTAATTTGATCAAGTGTATCTATATAAAAAATACCCAAACCTCTTGACTGATTAAAAAATGCCTCAGCAAATGGAACAGGTTGACAGTATAACCATTTCCCCCAAAATTAAAAATTGCTCTGAACCAATGATTGCCATGTGGTTCCCATTCTTCTACTTTCTGAATAGAGATCTTTGTTGTGGTTGTCTTGTCCTTGTGCTGGCATTGAAAGTTTTTTTTAAAATATTTTTTTATTGATTTCAGAGAGGAAGGGAGAGGGAGAGAGAGATAGAAACATCAATGATGAGAGAGAATCATTGATTGGCTGCCTCCTGCAAGCCCCACACTGGGGATAGAGCCCGCAACCCGGGCATGTGCCCTTGGCAAGAATCGAACCTGGGACCGTTCAGTCCACAGGCCGATGCTCTACCCACTGAGCCAAACCAGCCAGGGCTAGCATTGAAAGTTTTTGTGGAGGACACAGACAATCACATGGCCAATGGTATCCATCCACACCTTACTCTGTTGGAGAGGTTGCTGTGTACCACTCAGCGATATTAGACTCTGAATCGGTAACTGGACAGGATTTTGGGTTTTATCCTTTGAGGGAGGATATTGGGTTTTTTATTCCTTTGAGGGAGTTTTTGAATTTGTTCTATGTATTAAAGAAAAGGAATGAAAAATATTCCATTACCACAAAAGGAATCGATGGTAGAGATATTTAAGGTAAGCATGCTAGGATAACCAGACTAATTCTGGCCAGAAGGATATGGGTGGGAATAGAATACATCACCTCTAGGTCTGATCATAAAACTTCTGTGCAACCCTTCAGCTTTCTCAATGGTGACTCTGGGGAACATGTGTTGACATGATGGAACCAAGATGTAAACTGCCCAAAGGCACTGCAAGGAGAACAGGTGATATAGAGAGCCATGTCACTGAGATGCTAAACCTATGTTATTTAAAACTAGAGGCCCAGTTCATAAAATTTGTGCACTTGAGGGTAGGGGTAGGGGGCGTCCTTCAGCCTGGCTTGCGCCCTCTCACAGTCTGGGAGGCCTCAGGGGATGTCCGACTGCCAGAGAGGCGGTAGAGGCTCCTGCCACGCCACCACAGCTGAGACTTCTGCCTGAGCGGCACTCCCCCCTGTGGGAGCTCACTGACCACCAGGGGGCAGCTCCAGCATTGAGCGTCTGCCCCCTGGTGGTCAGTGTGCATCATAGTGACAGGTCATTTCACCGTTTGGTCAATTTGCATATTAGCCTTCTATTATATAGGATAAGTCAGACAGTGAAAGACAAACTCTGAATGATCTCACCTCTATGTGGAATATCAAAAAACCAAACTCATGATACAGAGAACAGTTTAGTGTTTGTCAGAATAGCAGGTTGGGGGTAGGTGAAAGGTTGAAGGTGATCAAAATGTATAAAATTCCAGTTACAAGATAAACGAGTTTATGGCTGTAGGGTACAGCATTGCAAGTACAGTTAACAATTCTGTATTGTATATCTGAAAGTTGCTCAAAGATTAGATTTTAAAAGTTCTCATTACAAGAAAACATGTAACTCTGAAGTAATGGACCTTAATTGTACTCATTGTGGTAATCATTTTGCACCATGTACATATATCAAATAATTAACTTTTATATTTTAAACTAATACAATGTTATATATCAATACAAAATTTTTAAAAGTTTGCATGATTTCAGGGCTGATCTGTTAACACATCATGCTCTATTTTTTCTGACATTTATGAAAAATTGACATGAGAAATGAGATGCCTGGTTTTTCTGGATGATGCAGTAGTGGATGACAGGAGAAACTCCTGTTGAAGTCTTAGCCAACAGTCATCACTTCTACTTTTGGCCAAAATGGAGTAACTTTCTGACTTGAAACAATAAAACTAACATACATATGTGAAAAAGCAAGACACATGAAACCAGTCAACAAAGACCAGTGATCCCTGAAAGGAGGGAAACCAATAAGGTGAGTCCTATGATGGCCTTATCTGCTGCCTTGGGAGAATGTTCAGGCCATACACGAATACCAGAAAGCACAGACGTGCACAGAGGCAGGGCTGTAAAGAAGGCTCTTTAGCAGAGGGTTGATTAACACACACATGTGAAGAACATATGCAACACCAGGGAATGAATCACTCAAAATGACAGGAGAGCATATAACCTAATGCTTACACAGCACTGGGACTATTGCTTTTTCCTGCTAGCGAGATTGGAATTGTGTCGAGTACTCAGGAGGATCGCTCCTTAAAAGAGATAATTATCCCTAGCCTCAGTCACTTCTTTTGTTCTGCCTTACAAATCGTAAACACAAGACTCAAAAGGATCAAATGCCAAGTAACATAAGTCCATGCCAGAAAAAAATGACAAGAATATTTACATAAATACAAAAATTACCATCACCCAACAAACAAAAGTGGACAGATTCAGATATCTGATACAAACTTATCTGCATACAAGGACTCATGATAATACAATTAAAAATGAGGAGAAAGGCCCTGGCTGGGTAGCTCAGTTGGTTAGAGTATCATCAAGGTGCACCAAGGTTGAGGGCTCTCTGGTCAGGGCACATATGGGAATCAACCAATGAATGCATGAATAAGTGGAACAAATCTATGTTTCTCTCTCTCTCTCTCTCTCTCTCTCTCTCTCTCTCTCTCTTCCTCTCACTCTAAAATCAATAAATTAAAATATATTAATGAGGAGAAAAATCAATGTATGAAAATTGAACCAGAATTAACACATATGTTAAAATTAGTAGAGAAAGAATGAGTGAGAATTTTTTTTTTTGCATGAATGGAGTTATCAATGGGCTGTGAGATAACTTCAAATTGTATAGTTAATATGTTTATAAGTGGAGCCTTTAATATTTGACTATACAATGGCTAAAATTTTTTAAATTCGTTTAAATCTGCAGACCCAAGAAGCTCAATGAGCCCCAGGAAATATGAATAAAACTACATCAATGCACATCATAATCAAATTTCTGAAAACCAAGGATAAGGAGATTTCTTTAAAGCAGCCAGAGGAAAAATACACCTGATGTACATGGGAACAAAGGAAATGATCCAGTAGATTTTTCATCACAAACAATGTGCAGGAAGATAGAAGTTAGCAGGGCAACCTAGAATTCTGTTTCTAATGATAATATTGGTTATAACTTAAGTAGAAATAAACTCACAGACACAAAAAGTTGATAGGATTAATTGCCAACAGACCCATAGTATGAGAAATATTAATGTCCTTTAGGCAGAAGGAAAAATGATGCAAGGTGGAAATATTAATCTGAAAAAAAGGAAGAAAAGCACCAGATCTTTCATGTAAAGTGTTAAAATAAGAAAAATGATCACATGTTTTCAAAGTTAAACTATATATAAAACAAAGTAAAATCAAAGAAGGCTCATGGTTCTTCTACCTTACTCCTTTCTTCCTCCTCTTCTGCAGGTAGCTATGAAAAGTTAAATTAATCTACATTTTTCCTTTCATTTTTTTAAAAATATAGCATAAGTATGCATTTATATAGAATGTGTGTATATACAGGGGTGGACAAAAGGAGGTTGTAATAAAAATAAACTACAGCTGTAATAAAAATAAACTACAAGAATAAACTGATTCATGTCTTCACAGCTATCAGCTGTATATGAATAAACACGCATATGTAACTCTAGCAAGTAACAGCTTCAAGATTTCCTTTCTCTTTCCCTTCTATCACAAACCACCCTGCAGGAGACAGCTCAGCCAAAGCATAATTTTAAACTGCAGGCCGAAAGTCCTAACTGAATGCATACAAATGCGTCCATAAAATGAATCACCAAGATCCCTTAGTATAATCCCAGCTCATTTTTTTTCTCACCATGTATTTCATGTTGGCTGCGGGGGGCTGGACTGTGCGACGCATTTCATTGTGAGCTGTGACACAGTCCTCTATGAAACTCTTGTCTTCGATGGAAGGTATGGTGGGAGTTTGATTGGTTACCAGATAGAAACCTAAAGTCCATAAGAAATTTAATTTGTTCCCATAAACCATGGCAAGATGCAGAGGATGCCCTGGCTGTGTGGACTGGTAACGGCTAAGCCAGCCTGCGCTCTGCACCTGGGCCCAACGTTCTCTGATGGTGTGAGCTCATTGAGGGTTGCACAGCAAGCTGGGCCCCAGGGGCGGGGCCAGAATGGCCAGGGAACAGGCAGCAGGCGGAGCTGCCCAGAAAGCCCTGGGCTACAGGGGAAAGCCTTGAGTTGCCCCCTGGTGCAGGCATTCAACCATCCTGAAGGCACTGTCTGTGGACCTAATCTGGAATCACTGTGAAGGGCATCTGGATTGTAATCCAGATTGCAACATTCAGGCAGCACCGTGTCATGCAAAAGAACGAGATGAGCCCTAGGTGCTTTGACTCAGTGGATAGAGCTTAGGCCTGTGCATTTAGTCCTGGGTTTGATTCCCATCAAGAGAGCATGCCCAGGTTGCAAGGTCTATCCCCAGAGGGGGATGTGCAGGAGCCAGCCAATCAGTGATCCTCTCTCATCATTGATGTTTCTGTCTCTCTCACCTTCTCTGAAATCAATAAAAAATATTTTTTTAAAAAAAGAGAAAAAAAAATGACATGAATTAGATGCTGACAATGGACCAGGCCTGTGCAAAACCCTATGTGTTAGTTTCATAGACTCAGCGTCTGTGTATTGCTTTTTTATTGTTTTAAATAAATTGCAACATCAATCTCTGGTTTCCTCAGAGATTGGGAATAAAGCTAGCATATACTGGATGACGTAGTGTGATTCTCTAATATTTTGTCAAAAGCTTAATTCAATGACTTGCTTGTTTTAGTATCTAAAGAGAATGACTGCCTAAAAATAGACACATGGAAAGTGTAGCCAAGTACGTTCTCTGGACAAAATCTCTTCTTGACACTTACCTTTGGAATACACCTGCCTTTTTGGTGACTAGGGAATTTCAGATAAGGACTCATTTAATTGGTATGCTGAAGACTAGGGCAGAGTACATTTGATTGGTTATTTTACTTACATTGCAATATAAATCCATTTTGTTCAGCTTAATGTTTAAGACCCATTATATCAGTGTTGGAGTAAGTTTCTCCTGGACCCTGCTCAGTTTAGCAATTGTGGGAATACTCCCTCCTTTATCCTGCTTGACTATGCTAACTGTAGAGTCCAAGTCCCTGGACGCCAGGTATTAGATGAAGAAGACATGAGAAGTCGTAGGCATATGGGAGAGTCTTTATTGCAGCCCAAGTAGCCATTGCTTCTAAGGGGCCATTAGACAAAGCAATTCTTCAAAGCAGCCTCACAAAGGCAGCCATTGTGCACACAGCAGCCCCTTTATGTAAAAGCAGCCTCGGTAAACATAGGAGCTATCACACAAAGTAGCCTGACTAGGCAGCCTCTCACTGGCTGGCCAGTAGCACATCTTTATACTAACTTAGACAAAAGAGGCTTCTTGCCAAAATAGTGACCGCAGTATTGGGGTTATAGAAAAGTACGCCTGCACAGTGCATACAATGAAACTGCTGTGTCCTTGCACCTGTGTATGGCAACTTGGCCTTGAACATCTGGCACACTCTGATCAGGGTTCCCACAATCAGTTATATTATTATTCAATTAAATCAGCACTTTTTATGTGATATTAAATAACATTTAAATATATATATAATTGATTTCAGAGAGGAAGGGAGAGGGAGAGAGAGAGAGAAACATCAATGATGAGAGAGAATCATTGATTGGCTGCCTCCTGAAAGCCTCACAATGGAGATCAAGCTGCCACAATCCAGGCATATGCTCTGACCTGGAATCAAACTGTTACCTTCCAGTTCATAGGACAATGCTCAACCACAGAGCCATACAGGCCAGGCAATGACAGTTTTTATTATTACTGTGTTTCAAGTAAATATATATTTTAAATGATTTTATTGATTTTTTTTAGATAGAGAAGAAGGGGGAGGGAGAGAGAGAGAAAAAAACATCCTGTATACCCCATACTGGGAATTGATCCTTTTACTGGGGAAGGAGGCTCTTGGTGTGGTGCGTGGGACAATGCTCAAACAATGGAGCCATACTGGCCAGGGCTCAAATAAATATCTTAATTTGATGATTTGATTTGAGGTTGTTTATAATACTAATTAACTTAAGTGAGCACATATTTATATCTACTGTTATTCTAGTCCTTTAAGCTTGCCATCAAAAAAACCACAAAATTTTGATGCAATTAGTCATTATCTATACATATAAAAGCCAAGCCATTGGAACAACAGAATGACCGGTTGCTATGACAAACACTGCAGCAGCCAACTGGCCCAATTGGGGCCCCAATTGGTCTCCCCAACCGCCTGTGGCCCCTTCCCCTGGCCAGCCCTGCCCCTGATTGACTCAGGAATGGAGCTGACCGGCCAACCTCCCCTGACCCCTTCACTCCATAGGGCAGGCCAGCCAGACCCCACCCATGCATGAATTTGTGAACCGGGCCTCTAGTTTGTTAATAAAATGCAGAAAATTATATTATAAAATGGGGTAAAATACAAGGATCCCAATGGAAATTCTACTGAGAAATACATATTTTTGTTCAATTATCTGCTAATGGAGAATGCCAATGTGTGTTACTTTCACATTACATGTACAGTCTAAACTGAGCTTCTGATATTCTACATCCCAATCCTTACCTTTCCAGAATCTTCCCTATCTCAGTTAATGGCAGTTCTCTCTCTCGTTTGTTTTTTTGTTTGTTTGTTTTTTTTGATGTGTTTTTTTTTTTAATCTATTACTCAGGCCTCAAACTTTGGAGGCTTTGGTTCTTTAGCAAATTTTGTTAAAAATATAAATGTCTTTATAGTTTCAGACCTCGATCAGTGCTCATCATTTAAAATGGCATCTCCTCTATTTTATGGATAAATGCAATGGCTTCCTAGTGGATCTTCCTGTTGTCTAGTCTCAATACATCAGTAACAGTATACAGTATAGTCTTAATATACTTAAATATTTGGAGTGTCTACTATGTACCAGGTATTCTTCTTGGTGCTTGGAATTGCAATCATACAGAACAAAACAAAGTAATATGCCTTTCTGGAATTCCAGTGGAGACAAATAATAAATGATAAACATAATAAACGATAAACATAATAAATAACTTCTATAGTATGATTTTGTTTGAAAGGTGAAAACATCTATCAAAAGATAAATGCAGCCTAAGGTGTTTGGGAACATAGCGGGTGTGTGGAGGCAAGGGATAGGGCTGTGATTTCAAACAGGGTGATCATTCTTTGAGAAGGTGACTTTTAAGTGAACACTTGAAGAGGATGCAAGTGGGAAGCATGTGGACACTGGAGGAAGAGAGTTCAAGGAAGGAGGAGATTAAATACAAGGTGGAACTGTAATCCTAGGCAAACACCATGTGGAAAATGGGAGAGCTCAGTGATTATTCTGAGTTGCTGTGCTGCTGCGAGTAAAGACATTGAGTATTTTTGACTTTGTTAAATGATGCACAAATGTTAAGAATTTAAGAATAACTATTAAAAGAAAGAGAAATAGCAAACCAATAAAGGGGAAATGACAAATGAAGAATATTTTATCAACCCAATAGAAGTCAAGAAATCAGAAAGAGGTGTACCTTTTTTTTTCTTCATATATGTATTTAAGGTCGTTAACACGCCTTGAATTATGATGTTGGCTGCAACTCATAATGTTTGGAAGTTTATTGCTTTTATTGCTATTCAGTTATAAATAGTTCATAATTGTCCCTTAGGACTTTTCTTTTCTTTAGCCATGTTTTATTTTTATTTTTTCAGTTACAGTGGACATTCAATTTTATTTTATTATTTATTTTTATTTTTTTATTATTTTTTTATTTTTATGTTTTTTTAAATATTTTATTGATTTTTTACAGAGAGGAAGGGAGAGGGTAGAGAGTTAGAAACATCGATGAGAGAGAAACATCAATCAGCTGCCTCCTGCACACCTCCCACTGGGGATGTGCCCGCAACCAAGGTACATGCCCTCCACCAGAATCGAACCTGGGACCTTTCAGTCCGCAGGCCGACGCTCTATCCACTGAGCCAAACCGGTTAGGGCTATTATTTTATTTTTTATATCAGTATTGGTTTTATATTGATATAACGTAGTGGCTTAGAACAATGCATACTTATTAATGTGTAGTTCTATAGGTTAGAAACTTTTAAAAAAGTCTCCTGGGGCTAAAATCAAGGAGTTGGCAGGACCATGTTCCTTCCAGAGGCTGGAGGCTCTGGGGTAGGGATAGAAGGGGATGCATCTCCTGCTCTTCTGGCTTCTAGGGGCCTCCCACAACCCTTGGCCATGGTCCTTTCCCCCATCATCCAAGCCATCAATATGGAATCTCTCCAACCCTCCTGTTGTCACATTTGGGTCTCACAGTGACTTCAGCTGGATAAAGTTCTCTTTCAAGGATTCATTCCATTAGGTTGGACCTACCCCGAAAATCCAGGATAATCTCTCCATCTCAGGGTTCTTGACCTTAATAACATCTGCCAAGCACCTTTTTCATGTGCGATGGACATTCACAGGCTCTTGGGATTAGGGTTGGGCCTCTCTCTCTTTTTTAAAAAAAGATATCTTTTTATTTCATTTCAAAAAAATTATTTTAAATATAATAATGTTACATTATTATATAAACACCAATTATTCAAGAAAAAGAGGATCAGTCTCTATGCGGTCTCCACTTTCAGTCCTTGGGTATCAGGGTTCTCTCCTGTGAGTTTTTGTTGATTATTCAGGGAGCTTTTCTGTATTTCAGTTGTAATTCCAGCCTGTTCCTGGGAGCATATCCGTTCAGCATCCACCTACTCTGCCACCATTTTTATTCTCTTTAATATTATTTTATATTAGTTTCAGGTGTACAGCATAGTAGTTAGACATTTATATATAATTTGCAAAAGATCCCCTGTCCCATTAGTCTAGTATTCACCTGACATAATTATTACAATATTATAACTATTACAACATTATTGACTATACTAGAGGCCTGGTGCACTAAAATTTGTGCACTCG